AATGTGAATGAAACAGACTAAACACGTCCATAGAGAAAATTATATTATGCTGTTTAAATGATTATAATTGAAAGGACTAAGTGTATGGTATGATTCCCCATAAGCATAAACATTGCTCAAACGATTCCATCACATGTTTGTGTGGACGTACAAGCATAGGAAGGAGTTATCAGACATTACAAACAAGAGTTAAGGATCATGTATCTAAATGACTTCATTATAATCATCAGTGAATGTCAGATGATGACCCGATAAACGTGGGAAATAGAAAGCAAAACATATAGTTGAAATAAGGGTATGAGATTGACACTAAGATAGCTTTTAAAACATTGAACAGATACTTGGAAGGATGGATTCTGAAGTTTATGCAAACCTTAGCTATTCATAAATTAAAACCTCCTTTATGAATAGGGAAACATTTTGTTATAACCTTGAATTTACCCTAGTAATCTTCAAGCCTTTTTATGGCTTGACATCTCATTGTTCTATCAAAATTTATAGAAAAGATTATTTATTCTAAAAATGCAGTTGTTTCATAATTCTATTGCATTGATAAGAGTTTGTTGAATTAACCACAATGTCGATGTTAAGGATGGGAATCTTTTGGTAAATGTGAATATTAAGCAGATTACCTCTAGAGGTTAATTATCGTGATAACTTTTAGTTCCTATTACTTAGAAATCAACTAATCTCCAATACTGAAGGACATGAATTATTGTTGGACTGATTTATACTACAACATAAAATAATTATGAAAAAGATGACAATTTAGGGCATTACTCAATTGGTTTCATTTTGGTCAATAGAATTTTCCAATTACATTATGTTTGATATGTTATTTGATTTGGCATTATAGTTTCTACACATTGAAACCACTATTAGAAACCTGAAAGCATTGGTTTGGGACTCATCAGTGGTAGTGCGCCTCCATGACTCCCACTATTCTCAAAAATCAAACATAGGACTTTCGGTCTTGTACGCGAAATCTTAATCTCTAGACCACTGAGCCAGTATTCAATGGTGGTAATGTCTAACTCTGATCAATCTAAGGATTTTGCGCAACCCTACCCATTGTCTTCGGTAGATAAATACCTACATCCGACAAGGTTAAACTCCACTGGTCATAGCTTATCAGAAGAACTCTGAGAATTTGCTCACGAAGCTAGTCACTAGTGAGCACATTTTTTGATTTTTAATTATAGTATTATAAAGATTATTTTTCTTAGAAATTGAAATCATGAATGAATCATTGTTAAACCACTATTAGAAACTTGGAAACACTAGACGGCCGTTTCGACCTGGATGAGCACTGCTGATGAGTCCCATACCAGTACGAAACGGCCATCATTTCAATCATAGGCAACGCATAGTATCAAGAAACAGATAAAAAAGCGGGATACAATCAAAATAAAGGTGCAAACAATGACAAGTTTAAGGCCAATGACAACTAATCAAGATCGAGGTCAACAGAACATGCCACAGGTCATACGTATAGAAATAAGATTACTTAACTTCTTTATCTGAAGTTTGTGCTGATGACGTTGTTCAGCAGAAGAACAATGAAAACTCCTTAACCAAAATACTCAGCTCAGAGAACGACCACATCGATCAACCTAGGCGACTAATTCTCTCCACCATCTCAATAATACTATTAATAGTGAAGGTGAGATTAATCAAGGCCATTAAGCATCTATGGCGCTGCGATAATTGATCTCCCCAAATTACATCATCTATTAATTCGGTTATCACTGCTATTATGACTAATGACAATTCTCAAGCATGAAAAGACAATATGTCGATCACATGATTTATAAATCAAAATGCATTAAAATGAACAAATTTTACTTATTAGCCGTAAAAGGTGAACTGATTTATTTTTATGACTATTAAAGGGGGTCTGTAGAAGAAATTTGAATATTTTCATGGTTTAAATCATCAATGGATCTTAGCGAAACCATCAACTCCAGACTGGAAGCAAAAGACAGCTGGTCTAAGTGTGAAAATTTCTCAATCTTCACAAATCCTCCTATATCGATAATACTTATATGTTCACTGGTGCCAACTACTGAAAATCTAGTGAAGAGCTATAATAAATCGAAGTCAGTAAGGTCAGGTTTGATATCATTCTCTATCCTTAGCAATGAAGATGGTTTAAGAATGTAATCAATTGATTGAAGTTAGAAATTTAAATGCTGGCTCAGTAATCCAGAGGGTAAACATTCGCATGTATGACCGAATGTTCTGAATTCAATTTTCAGACGTAGGGTCGTGAATACGCATTGCCTCTTAGGAGTTTCGTATGAGGAAAAAATGGCTGTCTAGTGCTTCTAGATTTTTAATGGTAGGTTGAGAAAAGATTGGTTTGTGATTGAAACTATGAAAATTGTTCCTCAATATTAAAGTTTATGAAAAGTAATTTCTTCTGCTTTTGTTCAACAAGTGGTCGTCACAGTGAAAGGTGTTATACTAACTTGAAGACTTGAATCGATCTCGAAGTCAAATCCATGTAAAACTGTTGATGGGCAGGGGGTTAAAAACGTTTATAATGACTGTGACTTGGCTTAGAGTAATGTTATTTCCTGAAGTAAATCACTTATTTAAATTATATTTTTTTTTAGTAAAAGAAGAATAAAGAAAACCAGAATGATTTTCAAAGTATTTAGTAAACTTCAAGATTTATTGATCAAAGTCAACAATTTGAATTTATCATCAGTTTGTAAACAAAAAAAGGCTAAATGATTCTGCACGTTTGAATTACTTGTAAACCATTTCTCTGTCTGAAAAAAACAGACATCAAATTTAAAATCATTTGAAATTATGTTAATTATCTTTCAAAACGCTGAGTAGTATCGATTCCTCTAGGAAGAATATGTGTACCAGAGATGAGTCCCATTTAACTTTTTCGGATCGTTACAATTTGAAATTGTCATTTAATGGGAAATTAAAACCATGACAACCTCACCTCAAGACGTGATAGTAAATGAAAGTTGAACTCGATGTATACACAGATGACATATCACTAAAATCCAACATTCATTCATTATACTCTAACACAAAAATGACACAATTCTTACAAATAAATGTCTCATAATGAAAATATTGTTAAATATCGTTCAAAATTGATTTAGCCTAGGCTGAAGTTGCAACGGTTTATAAGTTCACTACAATTATCCAACTATCGGGACGTGATAACAATAGCCATCTTAGTGTATAGACAAAGCAACTTGTCTACTTTCTTTATGAAATTAGTAGGTTTGTCTGATAACTGATTTTTGATTAAAGTTTAAAACCGATAATCAATCTTATCAGCTTCATTTTAGCTTTCATCACTTGAGGCGTATGCTTGTTTACCAAAGTAAAAGCTTACCACTCCACAGTTGGCTTTGTTTAGTGTATAGATATGAAAAATATCCATTAGGAGTAGAGGATGTTCGTAGGTTATTAGAATCCAATCACAGGTGTCTATGAACTGTTGTTCTCATATTTTGGCTCCAACGCCTAAGTTCGGTATGGCGTATTCAATAAACATGAAAACTTGGTTAATGAGGTGGTGAATGTTCATCGACTGAACTACTTTAGATATGCATTACTTATGCTCAACAACCAGCTACCTCTCTATGCGTAATATTGAACAATGTAGGAGCAGGATGGAATAAAGCCAGAAGTGTTCAAGCTAAGAAGCGAAATCAGCTTGTAAGCTCATTGATAAGTGAACTGAGCTATGCGAGTATGTATAAACTACCTGGTTAGTATTTGTGTGATTTTCATAACTAATGGTCATAGATTGGACTATAGGTGACATGTCTTAAGATTGTTCACAATAGCTAAAATGTATTTAGCCATTATCCTCTCTTAGGCTTTAACTTCGAAAACTATCTTATGCTTGTTCATTCCATAAGTTCATACTTTACAAATCATATCTTCCATGCCTAGGTATTTCAAACTATCATCGGCACTATTAATGTCTCTACTCTTGTAGCATGCGTCAAATTAATTTCATTCTAATCTATTGATCTGCTATGCTAATTTGAACTGATGAACAGATTTAACGGATTCTATATTACTTATGACTGATTGATATATTTATGTAACTTGTTGAAATCACAATTTTAAAAAAATCAAACAATAATATTTATGACACCAGTGTGGTGGATACTACTCGTAATGTCACTTCTGAGTAGTATGCATCAAAGTGTTGCTCAACAGTTACTGCTATAGTGCAGAGTGTCAGATCCGTACATATGGTGCAATCAAATGTTTTTGAAGACTAAGAGACATGTGGAAGAAAAAAACCGATAATCTGATTGTTTTACATGTAGAAGCCTCAAGGAAAGGTGTACAAATTTTGTTAGTCAACTGAGTTTTCTTGAAACAGTTCAGTTACACCTTTTCTACATGCATTACAGCAGAAATTAAATGAAATCATTAGTAATTGTTAGGGTCATCACAACCATTTTTAAATACATTCTTTTTGACACTTTGAGTAAAACATTTTATTGAAAATTCCAGAGATGTTATTTTTAAGAGTCAATACACAATTTTACATGTGTTCAATTCCAACATATATAATCAAGTCTTGAAGTTAGTATAATATTCCTGTCACTGTGACTGCCCCACATTGTACAAACGAAGGCAAAATCACTTTTCAGAAACTTTAGTAAGAAAGAAACAGTTTTCATAGTTTCAATCATGAACTAATCTTTTTTCAACCTACCATTAAAAATCTAGAAGCACAGGACAGCCATTTTGTCCTAATCTAGAACTCCTAACATGCAGTGCGCATTCGTGACCCTACATCTGATAATAAAATCCAGAACGTCCGATCTTACATTAAAACACATTGTTAACGTCGAGCTTCAATCAATTCATATCCGAATTCACTTTCGAATATCTCACAAGCTTCATGGTTTTAGTATACTGACTACTGTTCACTAATAAACAAAACGACAAAAATAGACATTCATACAAGAATGCAAGTGAAATATTTTCTTTTAACTTACTAGTTATTGTAGTAATGATAATCATACCGATTATTAATCCAACCAATGCTCCTGTACTTAAACTATGAACAATATTACTATTATTATTACTGTTAGTAGTAGTATTAGTGGTCGTAGTGTTAGTAATATTGTTATTAACAATTTCACTACTAATATTTTGACCCAATACACTATTGTTTCTTACAATCATGCAAGAAATAATAACAATACTAGCGAAATATTTATGAAAAAACATGTTTTGTTGTATTATGTTTCTAGTGTGTGCAAGCTTGTTAATTTCGTCGACAACAACACAATAATCTTTTTTTGAAAAATGGAATTGATAATTGAATACTATTTTTTGGTAGAACAAATTAATCACAACAAGTTGAAGAAATGAAAATCAGCGTTAATATCCATCGTGTTCAATATTCAATATCATGATTAATTAATTAATTAAGTGATAAGTGTCATTAACATCATTTGAATGAATAAAGTCAATAGATTCATTTAAATCAGTATTATGTTATATGAATAAGTAAGAAATATTTACAAATCATCATCACCATCATCATAGGTAAACGTGAATAATAATACATTCTGTGAAATATCAATTATGTAGCGTATTGAACATTGAAAACGATTTGAATGTTTGTTATGAATAAACACAAAAGATAAGTTTGTTTGATGTGCGTATTAATTGGAGGATGAATTAGTTGACATTTTTATATTATTGGTTCATTTGGTTTGTGATTGATAATTCAATGTGACTGATAAATGTTTTGTGAAATTGAATTCATAATATCACGGATAGAATGAGTTGATTGGATTAGAGAAGTTCAATGTCTAAAAATATCATTTGAATGCAAAAAAAAAGAAAACCAATGAAAAAGTTATTTTGAAAGAAAAAAAGAACAAAACAGATTACGAATAAAAATATATTGATAATGTTAATAGTATTATATTCTTTATTACAGAATTGTGGAGATTGATGTTGATTATCATTGAAATCATCAATCAATCATTGTTAGACCACCACCATTAGAAAACTGGAAGCATTGGATGGCCATTTAATCCTAGTATGAGACTCATCAGAATGAAGTTGCATAAAACCTTAGATTGATCAGAGTTAGATATTAACACCGTTGGATGCCAGTTGGCTCAGTGATCCAGAGGGCCAAACATTCGCGTGCAAGACCGAAGGTTCTGTGTTCGAATCCTGCGAGTTGTTGGTTGTCATGGATAGGTAATGCTGATGAGTCGCTTACCAGGATGCAACGGCCATCCAGTATTTCCAGGTGTTCTAATGGTGGTCTAATAATGATGAATTCATGATTTCAGTATTATATTCATTCATTCGCTGTAAAGAAAACGTGTACGAAAAATAAATTTTACAATCATGAGTTTGGTGAAGTTTTCTTGGTTTTTAATTTAATAATTTCATTATTTCGACCATAAAGTGACATGAAATCGACCGATAATGATTTTGATTGCATTAAAAAAATATTCCACTATATTCCCTTTTTGTTATTTAAGCTTGTGTTCATTCATATCGGTTATTTATGTATTTACTCTGAAGAAATCAATTTTGTGAATATCATGAAGACGAATTTCCACTTTCTGGGGTATCAGAAGCGTACATTCATGACTCCCGCTCGCGTAAATTGAAACCAGAACCTTCGGTCTTGCAAGTGGGAGTTTGCTCTCTAAATCACTGACCTGGTATCCAGTGGGGTCGATATCCAACTTCAATTAGTCCACAGTCTTGCATAACTCTATACTCTATCTTCGGTGAACACAGCTTCACACCCGAATAGGGTTTAACTCTACTGAAACTCGGAGAAACGTCTTCATGGAATTAGACATTATCACTGTTGGATACCGGCTCAGTGGTTTAGAGGTTTACAGTACACGTGCGAGACCGAAGGTCTTGGGTTCGATTTCTGAGAGTAGCAGCAGTCGTGGATGAGTACATTTGATAAGTTCCATACCAGGTTTCGAACGGTCGAGATCTAAAATTGATAGATTCATGGATTTCACAGTAACTTGACAATCTCCACTATGTGATAGTGGGATATGACCATAAACAAATTACAATCAATTCATTATCATGTTCACAAAATACACAATCGGATTTGTCAACTGAAATGAGTGATTTATTAACATATTGCTTTTGGAATAAAGCACATATATGTTGGTGTTTTGAAGAAAATTAAAAAATAATAAAAATTAATTTTTAAATACAGTTATTGGACATTGAACTATTAACGATTTACGATCCTAATTTAAACAACAACAATAAAATCAAACAGACAACCTTAAACAGCCAATCATAAGCAAGATATTGACATTTAGGATAGAAATTATCTATTGAACGGAGTATATAAAGATATATATATATATATATATATAAACAGTCTGAAAAATCCTTTCAAAGAAGAATTTCATTCTCAGTATTATTTATTTGTAATGTCTGAATTATTTTAACTTTATCATGATAGTAGTACTTAAGCATGTTTACAGAGAAAAGAACAACTAATGTAGACAGTTTATGTTTAAAAAACAGCATCATCGGTTGTATGATATACAAGAATCAATGTCTATTTTGTGATTTCTGTGACAAATCAAAACAAATCACATGCCTATGTCTGCATGTTAACTCAAAAACTAAAATAGTAAGTAGGCAATATGAAACATAGTAAGCTTTATATAAGAACTTTTTGTCAAGGTTCACCCTAAATATTTGAGGGATATATATATGTATATATATATATATATATATATATATATATATATATATATATGTATATATCAGCGAGTTGCATACCTTTGGATTTGGCTTGCTGTTTACTGTTTACTGTCTCATCCAATGTAACACAAGGCGGACTAAAAGAAGTTAAGTTATACCAAAGAAAAGGAAACTTTAGAATGTTCTCGGTTTCAAAAAAATTAATTCGGTTCTTTTTTAATGTTTATTTAACAGTTATTTTATTCATCAAAATCACCAATCAATCATTGTTAGACAACGATTAGAAATCTGGAAGCACTGGATGTGACTGGATGGTATGGGACTCAAAAATTCAAAATCTTTGGTTGAGTCAGAACATTTACCGTCTTTTTCTGTGACTATTTTCAAATTTTCATTTTTAACCACACGTAAAATCACATTGAAAAGCATCAATCTCCTCGAAAAATTTGAGATACTTCAGAGTGGCAAGACTTCTCATGGTATACAAGTGTTCAATAAAACAAGATGAAAACAGTTTTATCTACTATAATATTTACCGAAATTTCAAAATAATTATTAGTAATCAGTAATCAGGTTCACTGTTATAACTGTCTCTTATTTTTATGACCCAGCTATTTCCTAGTGCTTAGTATTCTCAGACATCAAATTCACTCGAGACGTTCTCTCAAATCAGAACACAGTTGAACAGGAAATAGAGATTATATTCCAATAACAAGGTTAAGTGGAAGACAGAAGTAGGTCCAAAGGAAAAAGACGTTAGTCTATTTATAGTGTAGAAGATTCTAGAATGTTCCTTCAGTATCGGCTAGCGCTGATTGGATGCAAAAAGAGCCAATCAGCGTGAAACAATGCAATCATGCTTTAATTCAATCCATGGCCCACTGAGATTGTTGTTTAACAATTATAATGATTTGGAAAATTAGAAAAAATAAAAATGTTTCATAACTAATTTATCATTATAAGATTAATTAATTCATTTTCGATCTCATAGAATTACATCACAGTCGAGTATTAATTAGCTCATTATCTTCATTAATGACCAAGAAGCGTTAAACATCTGCTTCCGTGTAGTACTACATTCCCAAGAAGTTCATAGTCATATCCCGACGAGGTCTCGAACGCTAGACTGTTCACATTTCATGGTGAACTTTTTTTATCTCTAGACCATTGACGCACCATCGGATGGTGAACAAGTGTAACTTCAATCAATTCTCAATATCATACAACCATCCTTCATTGTCATTGTTGATTTCTGTCTTACATTAGTTTTAATTAAACCCTAATTATCTTTTTTACGGCTTCTACTTTTAGAACTCTAAGAATCTACTCTTCAAAAAGAAATGATTGATAAACAAAAGGCATGCCTTCTTATTCAAATATGTTATTGTCTATGATATGACTTTCACAATTTTTTGATAATACCGCCATCTAATCATTAGTTTGTATTTGTATAGTCTGAAATAATAATAATAATACTATTCATATCATTGATATGACGTAAGTTAACAGAAAATAGGTCAAACTGTGTATGATATACAAGTCTTCATATTTCATTGTGCTTAATAATCAGAACAATTGAAATTTTACACAGAAATTTTGTTGAAAAACTTTTAAAAACTACTTTGTTTTTTGTCCACATCAAGTACTTCGGATTCTTCGGATTCGGATTCGCTGGTCAGATACTGTCAGCGACAACCTACTGTGGGAAGGAACAAACTATATTCCAGTGGAGGAAGGAATCAGGCAGAAGCGGTGGAGTTAGTGGATTGGACACACATTTCGGAAAGCACCCAACTGTGTAACAAGTCAAGCCCCCCATCTGGGACCCTCAAGGTCAAGGGAAAAGAGAAAATCCAGGGAACACATTAAGTCGAGAAACGGAGAAAGACATGAGAAGAATGAACAACAGTTGGACAGAACTGGAAAGGGAGGCTCAGGAATGAGTACCCTGGAGAATGTTGGTCAGCGGCCTATGCTCCATTGAGGGTAACAGGCGTAAGTAAGTAAGTAAGTAAGTAAGTAAGTAAGTAGCGAATAATTTAAATTTAATTATTATAAGAAGTAACTCTGGCATCCTTTTTGTAAGAAAGCTTTTTCTTAAACCATTCAACTGCTCATGTTAAATTAAAATGCAATATCCCAGTGACAGTTAGATGATATACAAGGGTAATATGGAATCTAATAAAAATATCTTGATCAAAATAAACACTTCAATTAGTATTTGAACACTTAGTTTTTTTCTCTTAAATCGTGTAATTCTCTGACCAATATTAGGTGCTCAGTTACCAATTACAATCCTGATTCTGATTTGGTCCCCTATTTAATCGACAATTTTATGTTTCTGACTTCGTTAATCACACTTCTTGATTAACGCTAATAACCTTGAGTTGGCTATCAAGTCTTTGTTGATAGGCGGCTTCATAGATTCTCTCTCTCTTTGTTCTGTCCTTGAGTTGAGAATT